ATTTTCTTGAGAATAATCCAAGATTCTGTCTCTAAGTGATAAGGAGGAGTCTGGAACACTCAAATCACCAATCTGAGATGACCTCTGGAGGCTAATTGCAACTGAAAGGTCAGTGGTTTGAACTCATCAGTAGCTTCATTGGATAAAAAGAAAAGGCCGACAGAGGCTAAGGACATGATTATTACTTTGGAAGTGAATACTTAATTGATTGCTGTGCTTTATTTATAGGAAACACTGTAAAAGATTAAATACTTGTCAGCTCAGACCAAAGAACCAATAGCTGGCAGTATTTATTCTTAGCATCATGTAGGAAGGGAAGAGATGCTTTACCTTATTAATAAATATGTTATAGTCTGTTAGGAAGTAGAAGATATTCATCAGAATTCACTGTGATCCAGACGAAACACTCTTAGAAACTATACTGTATAACCTTCAGATTTCTTAAGTCTCTTCCTGGTAATGAAAAGTAGTCATATGGAGTCATGAATCATATGCAAAAAATTAGGCACTTGGATGCTAACTAAAAAGCTGACTTTTGAATCCATCTGGAAGGCTCTCTACAGAAAGCCATTTTGGCGATCTGCTTCCAAAGAGAACACAGCCACTGAACACTCCAAGGAGCAGAAGTCACCTTAAAACATAGGAGGGTGCCATGAGTCAGAATCAGCTTGATGGCAATTGCTTTGACACTTGTTTTGTTTAAAAAAAAAAAAAAAGACTGTCACAGTTTATCTGTTTGTGTCTGCTCAGTATGAATCCCATCAATCCTAAAAACAAGTGGGGCCAAAGGACAGGCCTCACTGTTCCCAGAAAGAATTTGAAAAACTAGCATGCCTTCATCTCCTGCAGCATCACCTGCTGTGCAGAACAGAACGGTGCTGCTGTTGGTGGTGGGTGTCATCAAGTCAACTACAACTTACAGTGACCCTATGAACAACAGATCTGAGTCTTACCCTAACCTCTACCATCCACGCCATGCCCATAATGCTCACGTTCGGAATACAGAAACCTTATTCCATGTTTCCGAATTGTACTTTTTAATTTCAGGATCAATTCTGGAAAGACAGAAGAACTTTTCATTCACCAGTTATACTGGTTCTTGTCACAGATGTAGTCTTTTCTGTTGGCATGTGAAACCCATTAAATGACTTATAAAATTATCTGTCACTCTGTTTCTCTCATACTAAAAATCATTTTTAGTAAACATCTTCATCAGTAAGATTTTCTCCTTGAGGACAAGGAAAGGATTCTGTAATCACCAGGAGCTTTACCCCTGACAAGGCGTGTTCTATAGCTAATGAATAATTTATAAGGGCTACTTTAGATAAACAGTCTGGATTTTTTTTTTCATAACTAATAAATCAAGGTATAAAAAAACTAGGGGCTAAATCAGAGTCAGTTTTATTTTTCCCTAAAATGATCAGAGGGTTACATAAAGTCTGTGGTCTATTAGACTTGTTATTCTGCTCAGGTCAGTTTTATGTACATCAAGGTCACTCTCATTGCCCCATTCTCAATAAGCCTCACACAGCATGCAGTGCTGACAGTACCCTGGCAGAGGCACTCTGGGAAGTTTCCAGTTCACATTTTTTTTGGCAAGTGACCAAGGACAAAAGCAAAATGAGTCTTTCTGGGATGAAATCTGAAAATTAAATGACTATGTCAACTGCCATACAGTTCTACCATAAAATCAGAATTAGCTGTTCCTCTCTGTAAAATCGCACCTTAAGTTCTATTCGTTTAGTGTGGCGCTAACTCCTTCCAGCCTTTTTAGAGTTGAAGGTATCTCACAATTAATTTTTTAAAGTTATGCTTTTAATGGGGTAAAGTGACAAAATTATCCTAGAGAATAATCAGCAATGGGCACTAAAGCAGCTAATCTTTATTAAAAATAGGTAGCATTACTCTGCCACAGATACAAGCAGCAGCTCTTGGTTACTGTGTGATGACAATTCTTAGAGTGTTCTGAAGAACATGAGGCAGGCGTGCAGGCCTGGTATAGGTTAGGCAGGACCCTGGGCCTGTGGTTAGTTCCTTTCACTTAGATTAAAAGGAACAGCTGGATAAAATAAGCCAAAGGTAATGTCATTTTAAGGACCTCACTTGAATCAACAGTTAACTGTTTAGTGGCTAAGGGAAAGAACAATGGTTTCAACTCACCAGTGGTTTCATGGGATAAAGACCTGACAATATGTTCTTAGAAAACCAAACAGGGACAATTCTATTCTGTTACACAGGATCAATACAAATAAAAAATTACTCAATGGCACTCACTCCACAATAACATAATTTTAA